CTTTTTTTTTTTATAAAAGAAGAGCAGTTTCTCTGGGTTTACTGTTCGAGTATGCTCCTTTCTAATTTTGAAACACGAATAGCATTTTTCTTTCTGGAAAATTTAGTGTTCTTAATTTTTTTTCTCAACAGACATTCAGCTGATCAATCGAAAATGATTGTTCTCAACTCTTTGAACTCATTCTTGCAAGAATGCCTAGCTTGAAGGGTCATCCTTGAAAATTGCATTTTTCGATCAATTTTTCTGTTTTATAGCTATTATCACTTCGTCATCATCGATTGATATTTCTATATTTGCATAACGAATATGCTTCTCTCGTTTCGAATCTATGATGGTATGGTGCAATAGAAATGCAGTCTTTATCGTTGAATTTATTGACTTTTATCTATTTTAGTGTGATGGATACGCGATTTTTTGTCATTTGGAGCAACCGCATTTTCTATAGCGATACGAGCGTGAGACAATCGCTTTTTAAATGTTTTTTTGCATCTCGTGATGTTTTCGTGCTTGATTGATATATTTATACTCGATCAGCACGATATTCAGGGACTACCGACGTTACCGACCGTCCGGCGCAACTTGGCAACGCGGCACTGTTTGTGCCGGTTAACATACAATTCTCGGCAGATCCTCATTAGACTCTCGACAGTGCGTTGTTGAAAACGACGAGAACGAAGTGTCATAAATTATCGGGGAAATTCAACGCAGACGAGCTTTTGGAACAAGTCACGGTCAGTGACTTACTGAATTAAAATCGAGACCGAGCCATACAATCAGCTGGTGTCAGATGTAACTACTGATACGTCCTGCGAGCATTCGTTCACTTAATTGTGTTTTTATTTTGGAAGATTATCAGTCGTAAAATGGGGAATTAATTAACTATACGTCGTTCATTAAAATATGTTAAGAGTTATGATGAAAGTTAACGGATTCCGTTTGTTTATAGGTGAGAAGAGATACTGTGCTGCACAAGAATTCATTGAGGCCGAAGGCTGTGACGGTATTTTTCCAAGCATCAATTATTTTTTGTTATATTCATTATCATCAACACTCCTTTGTTCAACCATGTTTTGAACAACGTTTTTTCAATTAAAATTGCTCCATGAAAAATAAATATAATGGAAGCACTGGAATTGGATATTTGAAGGTTCCAGGAGTAATATTCGCCCAATAATCCTAGTTTCTGTCAATACTGAACCACTGAATTCTTTTTTTAAGTGTAGGGTGTCAACCTTGGGTGCTATCAGAGAGTTCGATATTATTGCCAATTACCCGTGCTGTTCGTCTCTTGTATAATTTCTGATAAAATAATTTCCTCTCCGGCCTCTTATCAACTCATCATTCCTATAGTATCCCATTGTATCATTGTCTAGAAAATTCAATTGGTTTTTTATGGAACTTTTATTGACTTCGTAGATTCTATGGAGAAATTTCCGTTTTTTCGAGTGTTTTCTTTTCAGTATAATGTTAGATGGAAAAAATTGAATGAGAGAAAATCGATACATGTAGATTTTCCTAAACAGCTCATTCTGTTGAGAATGTCTGTAGAAATTGCTCGTCTTAATTTTTTAGGCTTTTTTGTGCGAATTTTCGAATGAGAGAAGAACGAAGAATTTCTATAGAGAAGACGTTAATAGAATAAGTTGTCTAAAAAAATTGAAATCAATTGATTTTTTTATGCCATCTTATTAAACGAGAAACTATAGTTTTTGGTACGGAAATTTTTCGTAGGTGATTGTTCTTTAACTTCTTCCTCCTCTTTCTGCTTTCCGGTGGAACAGACATACTCGAAGGGATCAGTACCTATTCGACGGATATAGCTAATCAGTTGGCAGTTCACAAAGCAAAACTGCTTCAGATAAGGGCTGATAGAAAAAAAATCAATGAAGCAACATACGCACTCAAGAAAATTATGACTTCCATACAAAAAATAGCTGCAGAGATGGAGGCTAATAACTCTACCACTGGAAAAGTTGAATAATGTCACGAAGTAATCACGAGATAATGGGCATATGATGGATCAAATGGAAAAAGAACCAAGAATTGTTTGCAAAATTTGGATTAAAAACTGATTCAAAATTCAAGACGTCTTTATTGTTACTTTTTCCCCTCTCACACGTATAAAGAATGCAATAGAAAAAGCTAACGCTTTCTCCAAGAAATTCTAGTGGATTACTATTGGAACTCCACAGGAATTCTATTGGACGCCAATTCCCTCTAAGTTTTTTAATTGATATTCGTTCATAGAAGTCTATAGATGTTGATTTTTCCCCCATTCTCTTGGGATTGTTTTTATATAAAAAAAAGTCTTGGACAGGAATTTTCCATTGTTTTTCTTCGATTTTTTAATCAATATAATAAATGAAAATACAGTTAGAAATAGTTAGGAGTCAGAAATTTAAAGTCCAAGAATTTTCGTAAAAAAAATATAAGTCTGACTTTTTTCTATAAAATATCTCTCAAAAAATGCCACACTAAAGTTGCACATTTTTCACTTTTTCCACATACTTTTGAGAGTTCTGACTGCCCGACGCCTAAATAGTTGGAATCAACGTTCACCCGGCTAAAAAATTCGATTTTGGCGAAAAATCAAAGATCTGACCCTTTGACCCCACTATCGAAACTCCAAGTAAAAAATATTGAAATTCGTAAAACCGACAGATTGAATTATCGATATGAAAAGGAATTTCATGAACGATTTGTTTTCAAATTAAATTTAAATTTCATATCGTCGAGAATTTACTTCAATGAACGTATATGGAGTCAATTTTAATTAATGTTGTCAGCAATTGATCTGACAAAAAATCAATAACTCAAATTTGAACGATTACAAGGCTTCAACTTGGAAACGAAAATACAAGGCAATGGGCACATAAGATGATTGTAATAATAAATAGACTGATTAGGAAATGAGAGAAAATTTTATTATAAAAAGAATATTCTTATTTTTCATTTTTTTTCACAAATATGGATGAAAAAGGAAATAGAATGCAATGAGTGTATCGCCTTTTACGCATCAACTCACTGCTGTGGGTGAACAAATATACGTTTCAGCCTCTTCACCGAAGGCTTTATGACTTTTTTAGCGACATCGATCAATTCCAAGAGCAATCTCTCAATCTCCTTTTGTTGATTAATAACCCCGAGTAAAGTGTTGTTGCGAGTCTCAATGTCATCCCTTAGTACTTCCAGTTGGTTGAAGACATCGACTTCAATCTTTCCAGTGTTTTCGACTGCAAAATAATAAATAAAAATTCGAAATGACTGAAGTTATTTACATAAAAAGAATGAATATGTGAAGAGTGAATCATTCTATGGCGATTTATGTTTTAAAAATTAAAGAACATAAAGAAAATATTCATAATGGAATATTGCTCGCTGCATATGCTTCAATGTATACGAAACGAGGCGTCGAATGCGTTTTTTTTATTATCTTATGAACCCAATTTGTAATAAATCTGAAATTTTGCCTAATTTTCATCGATAAGATTAATTATATTTTTATGCTAATTCAAATCAACCTTTCACAGTAGTTTGGAAGTTATTGATATTTTATTACATTATTTAACGAATGCATAAATTCTTACTCACATTCATGTGTCACAGATGACATGTTTGGGAATTGAAGGTGAAACCGGAGCAAATTGAAATGCACAACTAAATAACCAATCTGCATGAAATGAAATCCCCATGATAAGTTTCAATTTCTACAGATTTTCAATCACATCGCGCGGGGAAATTTAATTATTATAAGCGTATTCCATCTCAAATCGGTCACTCTCGGCCTGTTATTTTCAACCCCTGATTACTTCAAATGATACATTTTTCCAAAATTATTAAAAAACTCGAATTTCAAACAGTACGACTCAATTTAAAAAAAAAAATTATCGCACTAATAACATGTCATCAGCCTCGGTACAGCTTTCATCTTATTCATCTCCAATTGCCTTGGAGATAAGTGTTCATATTGTGAGATTCTATATCAAAATTGAAAATAAGAAAAACTTGTGACGTCATCACTGAAAATCTTGTTCTTCAATTATTTTGGATGAAATTCATCATTTTATACATTCCGAAATCAAGAGAAATATAATTATCCTTGTGTTATTTAAGTCTGTTGACAAAAATTTTGATCGCATAATAATGTGAATAAAAAGTTTTCATCGAAAAAAATTAAAATTGGAAAAACATCGTAATTTCCGCGATCATAAATATTTCATATTATTTGTTTTCAATGTCCCATGTATTCTTTATCTCAATTACCGTAGGTCTCAATCACTTTAGCCAGCGGTTGGAGAGGGTAGGGGGGATGAGATCCATAAATATCGATGAATTCATCGTCGAACTCTCTCAGGACCAATAGAGCATCGTGGATGCCGCTAGCAGAACATCGGGCAGCATCGAACTCTCTCCCTCGCTTACCCTGCAGTTTTATGATCGTCATCAAGGATGTGCCACTGGCACTCATCTTGATCTGCTCCAAAGTGTCACGCATAGCGTTCAGCCGCGCTAAAATGATAAAAATGAACATTTCAAAACAAAAAAAAACTTCAATCCAATGATTTTTATAATTAATTTTTATTAATTTTATTAATTCGTAAAATGGGAAATAGTTTCGTAACTTCGTTTTCCATATTAAGATGAAGTGAAAAATATTTCGATAATAATTTCCGGTCAAAACAACGATTCAGAAAATTCTGAACCTCGTCAAGGCTTTACAAGAAAAGCACCTTCAAATTTTTATCTAAAAAAAATGTTTCATAATGAATGATCTTGACGAAGAGGGAAGATATTGATGGAAAGACATTTTTTGTGATTCAAAATTTAAATGAGAAAAAAATTGATAACGAAATATTTTTCTTATTTCAAATAATTCATTAGCATTTGATGAATATTGAATACAGCAGTGCATTAAATCACACGTTAGTGGAAATAAGGGAATGCACCAAGAACATTGAAATGAATCGAATGTAATTAATAGATTTTATACAGCCCTATCTTCGACAAAAGTTTCGTCCGGACTTTATAACATATTTGAATATTTTCAAGTTCTGAATTCTTCAACGGAAAGCCGTGAGAAAAATTCTAGAAAATTCATACCTGATCATTAAATTCACATTGAGTAATGGATCTTTTCACTCATTTTTTTTCTCATAAATAAATAATTTCTTTACGAACGGTGAGTCTTTATTTACAGTCGATGTTAATCAATTTCAGATTTCAGAGGAAGAAATTGAGATTTAAAATGAAAATAGGTAAAATCACTAAGTTTCTGACTACATTACACACGGGAAAATTCCCTAGAACAAAGCCCATTCATTAGGAAATTCCATCAGATATCTATTGAAAATGATTTTAGTTTTCCCCACTTTTTAAACTCATACTATTTGAAATAGAACATAGTTAATAAAACATAGTTTTCAAATTGAGGCTTGACATAAGCAAATTTTTTACAAGAGTAAATATTTTTTTGGTCAAATGCGATGACATTTTGGCAAATCATTCTTCGAACTATTCTATTATTTTTCACTCAAAAGTTTTGACTCAAAAAAATTGATATCGATAATATAACGGAGAGCTAATTAAGCGACAGATCGATTATCTTAGAATAATTCGAAGAATGATTTGTCAAAGTTTCATGACATTCGACCAAAAAACAATTTACTCTTGTAAAAAATTTACTTATGTCAATCCTTAAATCAACCGTTTTAGATCTTCCTGTAAAAAATTGTCAGTGCCTTTCCACTTCTATTTTTCTCCTCTTAGACGAAAATTCGAGCAATATAAAAAATCAAATTTCCAACGGATTAACACAGTCATTGAATTGAGAAGAGAAACATTCCCTTCAGGGTCTAACAATTGTAGAACTTCGGAAAGAATTATAGCTTCTTTGGTGAATCATTAAATTTTTTTTGCATATATATTCAAACTGATAATCAAATTTTATTTTAAAAAATTGGTACGCTGAAATTTTTCAATCAACTAATAATCCATTTCGCCTCAGCATGGTGATATTTCGAATAACAACAGAAATATCCAATTACCTTGTCCATCGCGAGCAGAGCTTCCTCCCACGAAAAAGTCCATGTTCGAGTTTTTTAAATTATATTCCTACCGTTTACAATCGTGCGGGACAATAAGTCTGAAAAAGCTTCCAGTCGTTCCACTGCAACGTTTCCAATCGAAATGAACGAAAAGCAATAAACGGGGATAGGAGTATATGTCTGAGATAAAGAGAACTGTCCTTCGTCGTATTTACGCAGAAAGATTTTACGCCGCGGCAGCTTGCATTCTCGTACGGCTCTCGTCGGTTGATGAAGGGGTGGGGAGACTAGAAGGAATAGGTGCCCAAGTAGCAAACCTTGCGAAAGATATCTGAACGTATACCAAAAAGGCTGACTAATATCCGTCCAAAAGTTATCTTGCAGTCATATGATAACTTTTAGTCAACTTCTAGGTAACTTCTAGACACAAGTTACCTTTCTGGACAGACATTAGACAGCCTTTTTGGTATACTTGCAAATACCCTCCAGAACTGTGCTGCTTGGGTGGGGAGACGAGAAATTCAACGACGCAAAAACGCAAAGACACGAGTAAATCAATTTTTCGGAGAATAAAAAGCGAAATAGAGAGATATATTGAGCCCTCTATTTATTCATACAATTATAATTCACTGTTAATAACTGATATGCACACTACTGTCAGATTGAGAAGTCTAGATCCCTGGACCTAAACTTCGGAAATTGTTCTTGTGCCAAATGATGTCTCAACGTATTCATTTTTTCCTTCGTCTAATTTTTTGAGATACCAATGTTCATGAATGTTGTATCTCACTTTGACTTGGTCTTCATCTTTAGATTCTAGTTGGAACGATGAAGAATAAAAATTATAAAAGAACCAAATATTGAATTATCCGGAAAATTTCTATAGAAAACGTATTTCTCAAAATGCAATATTCCTTCCTTAATTTATTTCTGGAGAATCTAGTAAAAATATTTTTTGTTACGAGATATATCGAGTTTGAATTTGTCATTTGAATTAGTTTCGTAATTATACTGAAAACACCGAGAAAATTAATGCGTTTGCCATCAAATGACGTTTCATTTTTCCTGTGATACGCATCATTTACCACAAAAACGTATTTTGAAATTCCCTTCCCCCCCCCTAAAAAAACGACAAGTTTTGGAAATATACTGCCGGTTTTAAAAAACAAAAAAACATCCAGTAGTTTTTGGCAACTGATGAACATTTTTTTTTTGTTATGACACGGTGCGTCCGCAAATTCTTGCCTGACGGCGAGGATAAAAAAACCTCATAGCTGTTACCCCCACTTAGCCGATTCACCACGCCTCCACTCGCCGACAACGAGGGACCAAGAACATTCTCTCAAGCGGCATCACTCATTTCCAACCCTCCGATAAGCCAGTTGAGCTTCGTTTGATTTGCGATTTATTTTTGATTTTCCTTTGTTATAATTCCTTTCCGACAAATTGAAAAAAATGAGTAAGTAGCGTTCAGCTACAATTACGTGCACCAAGTTTCTACCACCGTATCTTAATCACCTAATCACGTCTGGAAAAAATTGATAAAGAACACGAGTGAATTCGCTACAGGCTAATGATACCGCGAGACACTTTGCGAGACAAAACTTTGGAGAGATGATCTCGTTCTCAGTTAACATGGAAATCATTGCTGTCATCTCAGTCTCGAAATATGCGGTATCGACTCCTCTCGTGATGACTCCGGGTCAATTTATCTCATCTCGGTCTCATGGTTTTCGTGTTTTTTAATATAAAATCTCGGTTTTTGTCTCGGTTTGTCTCGTCTCGACATTCTACATATAAAAAACGCGAAAAAGTGGAAACCGACATGAAATAAATGGACTCGTAGTCATCACGAGAAGAATCGATATTGCGTATGTTGAGACCGAGACGAAAACGAAGATTTCTATGTTCATTGAAACCGAGATCATCTCTCCAAAGTTTTGTCTCGTAATGTCTCATGAAATATCTCGCGGCATCAATACTACAGAGAAAAGAAAAAAAAACAGTGAAAAGAAGTTTAAAAATTAATCCCCCGGAATTTCTCTAAAAATATCTCAATAAAAAAAAGCTTTACACAAAGATCGACAATCAGTGTTTCTTTATAACAAATATTCTTCACAAATATTAATTAAAAAACACAAAAACCAAATAAAAAAATTATGAAAATATAATACTACTAATTCGGTTTCAGCGGAGGATTCCAGGAATTGTAAGGAATGTAAAGGCTGCAGTCGCCCTGGTTGTTACAAACGTAAATAATACTCCTCTGATATTTAAATTCTCTTGTTTATTGCTTCTTCTTTTACTTTTTGCTGAGAAGAAACGAAAATGTTTTCACGACCATTTTTTTTTGCTCAGTGGCTTCACCATAGCCTTTGTTGCATGTCTGACAACTAACGGTTGCAACCCCTAACAGATGAAAATTTGTGGTTTTCCCGGCGTTCTAGATCGTCCCATTTTTTCAAATCTCTCACGGTTAATTTCGTAACTGCATGTCACATTTTCCTCTCATTAATGATTGTGAGAGTAAATTTTTAAATAATCAGTGATGGGGAAAAAATAAAAAATCTGCCTTTTTTTGCTTCCTGCAGGTGCACTAGAGAGGATGGAGCATCTCGTCAATGAGGCCCAGGAGAAAATGGACAATCAAGGACCTCTCATTGAGGAGATTAAAAGAGGGGAAGAGCAGATTAAGAGTGCTGCCGGTAGGCTTCGAGTACTTTTGGAGACGATCCAAGATATGGTCGATATGATCGAGGTGGAGAATAGTGGTGGGGCTAATGACTAAAAGATGAAAATATTAAAAAAACCCAAAAGTGTACTGTAAAAAAAGCTTCAATATGAATGTTTGAGCACATTTGTAACGAAAATACTCTTGACAATAAAAATAAAAAAAAAACGTAAACAAATCGTTCCATTCATTTATTTTACTGCTCAAATTCAATGACCAATAAAACACACTCACATCAATCACAAAATCCAACATAAATATTGGAATGCGACAGAATGAAATTTCTTAGAAAATTGTAATCTATTCCGATACTACCGATTGTTTTTCTTCTCAGCATACCGAGACAATATGGATGTAAATAAAAAAGAGAATCTAAAAATTCTTCTATTTTGAATTTAAACAACGACGTGAACCACAATTTCGTCCTATACTGAGACTAAACTATAGTGTGAGACGATCATTCGATTCAGTGTGAGATAGAAACAATCAGCTGTCAGTTCACTCGAGTTATTATGGCCCACTGTCACGATGATGTGATAGTTTAAACAAAAATGGGAAAACTTGGCTTTCCTGATTTATCATCTGAGAAAAAGGGACGAATCATTGGAATGTGGCAAAGTGGACACCGAAGTCAGGATATAGCTGAAGAACTTGAAATCAGTGTGCGTTCATCCAACTTTTTTCGACCCCCAACCGCCTCGAACCTAGATAGTCAATTTACTTGAACTTGAGATCAGACGGATCTTTTATAAAAAATGCGTAGCTCTGTTTTTATTTACAGCAGAGAGTTACTGTGACTATCCTTTGATGTTACTAAAATGAGCACGTACGTATGAAAAAATTGAATAGAAAAACCTAGCGCTTTTTCTAGGAAAATCTATTCAATTTCTATTGCAATTCTATAAGAATTCTATGGGAGTTCTATTAGAATTCTACTGAAAAATGTTATCTGCTTTTTTCGTCATTTTTATAGGAGATATTTTTTGGAACAGTCAATAGTTTTTTTTTTTCTATAGAAATTCTTGGGCGGAAATTTTCTATGTTTTTCCGGTGTAATTTCATTCGTTTCTATTAATAAAACTCAAGAAAAAAAAACTTAGACAATTCATGCCCAAGAATTCTTATAGGAAAATAAAAATCTATTCACTTTTGTATTAAATATCTCTTATAGAAATGGCGCAAAAAAACAGATAGAATTATTCACTAGAATTCTAATAGAACTCCAATAGAATTCTTATAGAATTCCAATAGAAATTCAATAAAATTTCCTAGAGAACCCGATAGGTTTTTCTATTGAATTTTTTCATACGTCCGGAGTAAAAAGATGACAATTAAAAATTTCCTCCGTGTTTCACTCTGATTGAATTCATTGAATTCAATCATCTCGTTTTAACAATCCACGGCTTTATCTCTATTTTCACTAATTTCATGCGTCAGTTTAGGCTGCGACTGTCAACAAATGGGTGCATCGGTACAATGAGGTAGGAAATGTTGAGACTCTTCCACGGTCTGGACGTCCTCGCGTTACGAACCAAGAAACGAGACAAGCAATCGTTGGACTCGTTCAACAATCAGACTTCACGACGTCTGGAAATATCAAGAGAGCTCTCGATTTGGAAATATCGACGCAAACAATTCATAGATGTCTTCGTGAACATAACTACAGAGCTCAGCGACCTGCGAAGAAACCAGGGATGACGGAGAGACATCGAGAATGTTTGTGTGCTATTCGCCCACCAGCATCATCATTGGGACGAGGAGTGGGATCAAACCGTCTTTGTCGATGAGAAGGTTTTCAGCACGGATTCAACTGGTAATGTTACCCTCTGGCGTTTACCCAACACCCGCTATCAAGATGAAAATCTTCACTACCATTGGAGACAGGGAAGGGTTACTGTGTCAGTCTGGGGTTCCATGAGTTCAGTTGGATTGGGGGACCTGGTAATAGTCCAAGAGAGGATGAACTCCATCGATTATCGAAGAGTACTCGCAGAAGTTATGTATCCAACCGCCCAACGCTGGTTCCCAGAGAGTATTATAAACTTAGTGCAAGACAATTCAGGCCCCCATCGAGGCATCGCTGTCAGAGAATGGATCGCAGCACAAGCTCGTCTTCACTGCCTCCCCTGGCCAGCAGTTTCCCCGGATCTGAATCCTATGGAGAACGTGTGGGCTCATACGATGGATCGCTGGGATTATCAAGGAAATCGACAAGATCGAGAGGCATTGACTGACTGCATCATCCAACGCTGGCTGGACATGAGGGAAGATAGGGAGTTTTTCTTCAATCTTGTGCGCAGTATGCCTCGTAGAATGCAGGCAGTGCTGGACAGTAACGGTGCTCCAACGCGTTATTAATTCGGTAGACCGAAAATCTGACAAAGTTATTTTCCGAACCGATTTTTTGAAGCAACCTGCTGAAAGGTATCTTAAACATGCAAATTTATTTTACTTATGTCCATTGCAAAGATATTTTCATTGCTGAAAAGTCTATAGAATTCGATTTTTCTTTACAACTTTTCTATAGAATTTTGTCCCCTCAGATTTTTCAAGTTTTGTGGTTGGATTTTCTTGATTGAAAAAAATAAATAAATAAACTGAAAAAAACTTCGAAAATTCGAGCCGAGAAAATTCCATAAGAAATATCTCAATAGAATAATTCGAATACAAAAATCTAATTATATTGACTTTTCCTATAGAATATTTTCTTTTGATGATTTCAATAGCTGTGGTCAAAAACAAATTGAAAGTTCAACAGAAATTCAATAGAATTGTGCAGCGAATTCACTAGATTTTTCTATGAAGTTTTTTTGTGCTTGGACAGGCATAAAGAAACCAAATTTGCATCTAAAACAAAACTTTTTGCAGGTAGCATAAAATTTCCACTTGGGTTAGATATTGTCTTTGATTAATCAGTTATTGAGTCGACTCGTAATTAGTGATGAGAGATGAATAAAAGATACGAGGTTTGTTTTCTCGTTGCAGATGGGTTGCAGGAGATGAAAGGTCTCGTATGTTCAGAAATATATCCCGAATCAATGGCCTCTTGGTTTTGAGATACTCAGGGAAGACTGCTGGAACTACTGCCACCATCTCAAGTTGGACAGAATTTTATTTTAAAAAACCTGGTGCATTTTCTAGGAAATTGCATTTAACTTTTTTTGAACATTCTATTAGTTTTTGTCTGATGCTGTAAAAAAATGTTTGATTCCCTCCAAGCTTTTTCCACTGGTGTTCAGTCGTGTTCGGCCCAAAGTTATAAGAATAAATGCGTTTTAGCATTCGAGTGATAAATATTCGTGCTACTGAGATACAATTGGAATTACAGTTGCATTCATCGAACAAGTTTTTTTTTAAGTATGACTTTTTAATTCTTTGAGAATACTCGGAAAATATCTTCGCCGCTGCTATTCCAGATCCTGGGAACAACAACGAATTAACGAAGTTTGCTGAGCATTTTCGCACATCAATAATTATTTCATTGTCGATGAATTATCAAAGAACGCTATAAAAAGTGAATAAAAATAGGCAATTCATTAAAAAGAAATTCCAAAACAAATTCCATCGATTTTCGCAGCAAAATTGTCTTGTCATAAAATTGAAGCAGTGAATTTAGTGACTCAATTTTATCGTTAATTTTTACAGAATATTTTCTTCTTGAAAAATACACGAGAGGAAGGGTTGAATATTGGACGAAGTTATCATGATGAACAACAATGAAAAGTCTACGGTCGTGGAGTTAATCGTTACGAGAACGTCGATCCTTTCCAACGAAGCCCGCCCACGCATTGTAATAAAATGTTGTCAGGAAATGGCCATATTCTCTACGAGATAACTAATTTTCTTCTTTATCTTAGGTTTCCCTTCGATTCTAGAAATTTTCCTTGCATTCCAAATGATTTCCAATAAAAATCCATCGCATCGAGATTTATCCATCGTTCATTTTGCGATGAGAAAAAAATTTATGCTGAAAGTTTTTCATAAAGAAAATTTTAAGCCCTGTAATATTTCGTTTTAATTTTCTCAATAAGTTAAATTGATTAAAGAATAATCAATTAGATTTTGTTTTTTTCATTCCAAGCCTCTCTTCCTTTTCCCCACATGAAGATCCGAATAATTGCCAATAGAATCCATTGCATTCCGACTCATCTATCGTTCATTCTGCGATGAGAGAGAATTTATGGAAAAAGTTTTTTATAAAGGAAATGTAAAAGCCAGTAATATTTTTTTTTCATACCCCCAAAGAGGGAAATAAATGGAAGAATCATCGAATCGTTAGACAGAATCAAATGAATACGAGTTAACAATTGATTTTTTCTTCAGTCTCCTAGAAGCGCACCATAGAACAACAGGCACTTCAGTTACAATGAGTAGCAATCCCCCGGCGCAGCGTCTTCAACAAGCAGCATCAACTCCCACTGCTACGGCGGACAATCCCCAGACGGAAGTGTTGAGTCTCTAATAGTCGGCCTCCTCCGCATTGTCGATCGCATAGATCCCAGTTCTGAAGTGGATTTAATCCACCGTCTTTTCAATTTCGACTGAACGATGGATCATTAAGGATCAGATCCGATTGATAATTGCAGGCTTCAAGGACGTGAAACCCAACCAGCTGTTCTGGATCAGTCACAGACTCGAATCCATCAACTTCTCTCAGCCCCAATAGGAGAACTAATACCTGGGAGTCTCTCCCAGAAAGTTCGTTATTGTCAGAAAGTTTCTGGATCAATTCACCCCAATCTCCCAGCCTATTTGTGTGATCGGTAATTATGGAGATTAGGATGATAACTTGTGTCGCCCTTGGGATATTACTTGTGTCACAAGGATGGAGCATTCGTCAGGAGATTTGGGACCCTTGGGACTGGGGCTGGGCAGTTTGATTACCCTGCTGGAGTTGCTATTGACGAGGGAAAAAGGATTATTGTGGCTGACAAGGACAACCACAGGATCCCAGTTTTCACGATGGAGGGCCACTTCATATTCACTTTCGGGGAGAAGGGATCACGAGTGGGTCAGTTCAATTAACCGTGGGATGTTGCCACGAACAGTGAATGTCCGACTGTGGTGTCAGACACGAGCAATCATAGAGTCCAACTCTTCAGTCCAGAGGGAATTTTCCTGCGCAAAAATGGCTATGAGACAGTGCCGAATATGTTAAAGCATATTGATTCACCACGAGGTGTTACATTCAATCCTGAGAGTGACAAGAAGAATGCTAGTAAGTCGTTCTTGAGATGACAAGGGCTTGTTGTGGATGACAATTGGAATATCATCGTCGCTGATTTGAAAAACTATAGCATCCAGGTTCTAGACTCTACCGGCAATCTTCAGTGGACATTCGGAACTTATGGGCAAGGACATGGGGAGATGGATAGACCATCGGGGATTACGTTGACCACGAGTGGCAGAATTGCTGTTGTGGATTTTGGGAATAACTGGGTGTTGATAATATGAAGTGTTGGCGTGACGAGGTTTTTGATTGAATCTGTGATCAAGAGGACTGTTTTTTTTTAATCGGTCGATGTTTAAAGATTTTACATGTTCGTTGTGTTTTATGAAGCATAACATTGTAATAATGTTGTATTTGGTTGTGATAAGGGCTTGCAACAATCTAATTTGTCATATAAAATATAATAGAAAGAAAAAAACTAACAGTTGTAGACTGATAAAGTTGAAAATTAACTGTGTTCCATTAGAGCCTACATTTTCGCTGGAAGAGATCGCAGTGTGCGATACAATGACGGGAATTGTTAAGAAACATCTTCTGGACAAGACTATCTACATGTAAACCTGTCGTCGAGATTAGAATAAACTTTGGGAGTGGTCGAGCTTTTTTATCAGCTGAATAGTGAGACTGAGGTTAATGTTAATATGATGATTCCTCTAATTTTCCCTCTCTCAATCATAGAATAGATTATATAAAATATTTCCCAAAAAATTATCCAGTATTTTTATTATTGTCACTCACGATCAGACATCTTCAAAATTACTCGTAGAATTGCATGTAAAAAATATTGAAATTCGCAAAAACCACAAATTGCAATGAAATTTTTGTAAATTTTTGCTTTTCAGATTGAAGCGAATTATTGAATTTTTTCATATCGTATGAATTTATTTGAATGAAATTTTCAATTGTCACAATGAATTTGAAAATTAAAGCTGCAAGGGGAATATCAATAATCGCTTCATATTTTACAACAACGAGAATTGCAATAACGTCGTAACGAAAATACCAGAAATAAGTTGACAGTGTTATAATTAATTAATTCATAATTCATAATTCATGCATAAGAATTGAATCTCTAATCAGTTTTAATCAAATACAGTTACTTTCGTACAATTTGTTTTATACACTTATATAATTTAATTTTAAATATAACAAGTTGATAGTAGCTGATGATCGAAGTAGAATCAATCCACGATCTACCATGATTTAATTTCCCATTCGACTTACTTGGTTGCATACCTGTAAAAAAATAATTAACATTAGTAAATATTTCCTTGGACAGTATGAGACACTGATACTCTCGTCTATTAAAAATTTAATTGTAGTAATGTTCAATTTCCATAACAAAAGATAAATTTCATGAATGATCTGATGCCAGAAATGGAATCCAAATTCAAAAATATTCAAAAGTATTTCTTCTTCCAATGTCTGAATACTTAAGATGACAAATTTTATAATAAATCAGTAAGAAACTAAAAATTAGCTGGTCTTCAAATTTTCAATTAATTACCACTGAAAAACGTAATTTTATGTATGTGACAATTGAGAAATAAAATCTTACATTGGATTGGAGTAGAGATAAGAAAAATATATTGTTAAGTTTCAGTTCAAATTTGGCGTCATCGATCTCACCTCAATTTATTTATCGCATTGAAATTGAGTTCACTATTAGATTAAATTCATCCTCAGTCTTTCTCACAATCAGCAGATTCTGTCTCGTCGAACTTGTAAAATAAAATAGCATTTTCATTTTACACTTTACAATTAATTATAAAATAAAATTAATGAGGGATTTATCCCCGGAGCGAGTGAGTTTAAGAGGAAGTTTGAGGGGAACTTTTTTGCAACTAAAAAAATGTCCAATTTGGAATTATTTTCGACATTTTCACTTATCATCGCTCATTATCAAGATAATTTTACAATTGACAAATTACCTTTTTTTGCTACTTCGAATAATAGCAGTTCATTTTATATTTGTTTTTTTTTTCCAATGATTTTTTTTTGCAAAATATAATTTATTTTTTCCTTCGTCGTCTCATCTTTTTTTTTATATTCACTCACAGTAAAAAAAATGCAATTTTCTCATTCACAGCGAATCAATTGTTTACTTTTATTATTATCATTATTGAGGTTAACACTGATGTCGTTGAAATTGAGTGTTGAAAATCCGCCCGATTCACTTGTTTCCTCCCCACTCTACGTCATCGCTGAAGCATGAACTGAAATTACAAAGGCACGAACCCACCCATTCGTTTCTGGCCTATACTCCGTGCAACACTGCTTTCCGTAACCAATTTCAGCTCGGTTACGAACTTTAGTTGACGAGTGTACAGTCGTCAAAGTAAGTTTCGCCAGTCCGTGAAGTTGGCTAGTGACTGGGGATGCATGGAGTATAGGGACCGAAACGAACGAGCGGTTCGTACCTCGATGGTTTTAGTTCGTGCTCCAGTGATTGGATAGAGTGGGGGAATTTGGACGGGTTTTCAATGCCGGCAAAGGCGACTCAAACCTCCACAATAACAAAAACAAAGTAAATATCCGGAGCACAGTGGGTTTAGGGAAAAAATTGCATAATTTAGAACAATCTATGTATTTAATTGTCACTGACGGTGCTGATGAGTTGGCAAGTATTGGAGTATTTTGTATTTTCTTTGTCCCGGTAAATATTTAATCATTTTGAGAATGAGTTATTCTGGAGAGGGAAACTGTCAAAAGATAGATTGCCATAGATTTTCTCAACTACACAGAAGTCTCTTGACATAAACTCCGAAAATTACGCATTCCATAATCTATTGACAATATCATTGTTGAATGAAAACTTTTCTCAATTTTGTTATTGATGCAATATGAAAATAAAAGGATAATAATATTTGAAACTTTTGATTCAGACAGACTATCAGAAACAACTTCTATTTGCTATTCATGAAATTATCTGAACGATTTTTTTTTTATTGAAGGGTTTGTTTAATTCATTTGAATGTAAAGTAACTGATAAAGTTTTTTTTTAGCAGAATTCATAGAATATCAATTCTTGTCAATTTCCATTGCAGATATGGGGGCGAAACATCGAGAAGAAACTGACAATTTCGATCAGATGCTCTAGTGAATTGAATCAACAAACAAAATAAATAATCTGAAGCCATTGGATCCGAGAAAGAATTGAATAATTCAACTGAATATATTTATGATATTCACATTCATGGTGCTTATAGCTAAGAGAAAAACAAGGTATTCGTCTTGGCAAGTCTTCAATTATTTTAGTAACGAATGATTTTAAAGGGGAAAGTGAAAAGAGAAAGATTTTTTATGAATATTTTATCAACTACATAAGAGGTCTTTTCACATCAGTTCCGAAAATCATTTCAGTAGAAACGAAATCTGCTGGCAAAATTTGTTTAGAAAACTTTCCTCAATTTATTTTATTGATTGAATATGAGAATAAAAGAATAATAATATTTGAAACTTTTAATTCAAACAGATACTATCAGAAACACTTTCTATTTTCTTTTTATAGTATTTCCCAAACCACTTTGGCTATTAAACAGTTTGTTTATTTTTATTAGAGTGTAAAGTAACTGACAAAGGCTTTTATCTGTAATTAAATGAATTTGGCAAGTTTCTTCTATTTGCAGAGAAAGATGTTGATCTTTGCGAATTTTTGTTGCAGATATCGGGCGAAACATCTGACAGACTAAGCATTTTCACGCAATTCAGGGGTGAATTGAATGAACTACCAAAATGAATGATCTGGGCTAGGTGGATCAGAAAAAAATTAAATAAAATTTTCTGGAAATTTCAAGTGTTTAATTCAATTCCCCAAAATGGCCGTAGAATTTCGACTATCTCGAGAACTACAATAGTCAAAACCTCAAATCAGAACTCATAATGAAGCTAGGAAAATCTCCCTACCCCACCCACCCTCTATGAACCCGTTTTGCCACAGGATTGCCCCAAAAACCCCACAAAATCATATTTCTGTCCAAGGTTCGGTTTCACTGATTATTTCGATAACAAATGCTCCGACACATCACCAGCTTCTTTCTGGATCAGGAACTCCCGTATGGACTCCCTGACATGATCAACCCCCACCCCTTGCCCCCAGAATTCCAAAAAAAATGTCAAGAAGTTTAATTCGATTCCCCAAAATGTTCATAGAATTTAGATCCTCTCAAGAACTTCAATAGTGAGAACGTTAAATCACAATTCATAATGAAGTCAGGAAAATTTCCAATTCCACCCACCCTTTATGAACCCGTTTTCCCCCGGATTACCTCAAAAACCCCACGAAATCACATTTCTGTCCAAGATTCGGTTTCACTGATTATCTCGAGAACGAATGCTCCAAGAGACATCACCAGCTTCTTTTTGGATCAGGAACTCCCCTATGGACTCCCTGACATAACCCACTCCTGCCCAATTGACAACAGCACATATAGTTTAAAAAATGTCATGACATTATACCCAATCGTTTTTATTCCTGCATTATTTCTAAATGTTATTTTTTTTATCATTAGTTTTTGTTATTTTTTTAGACTGGACGTTGGCGAGTATCCATCTCAGCCACAATTTTTGTGCTTTGTTTTCAATCTCTCTTCTTCCGTTCCAGATTTCAATGATTTTTTCCTTTTGAATAGCCATCTATTGTATTGATGTCTACGATGTGTCCATCTATCTCTTCCAGCTTCCCTGTTTGCCTAAAAGAAACAGAAGATAAGAAACGTCAATTACTCTTATGAAATATTCTATCGTTAGTGGATTCCTGAAAACGTTTTCAACAACAAAATAACATAGAAATAACAAGGATTAACCAGGGCCAGGCAAAAATTCGCCTAGAATCGCTTTGTGCAGATGAGCCAATTCTAAATGCAAAAAAATCAACCCATAGATCTCTGTCCTCGCTTCACGTATGACAAATTTAATAGAAAAACTTAGCGATTCCGTTAGACAAATCTATTGGTTTTCTGTAGAAATTTCATTAGTTTTTGGCGGTTTCTATTAAAATGTTCAAGAGAAAATATTGGATAGAAAAATTCAATAGAATTCGATTTTTCTACACAACTTATTCTATTGAAATATTTTCTATTGAATTTTCTAGAATTTTCTTAATTGAAGTTTTCTTCATTCAATTTTTCTTTTCTTTCTTTCAAGAAAATCAAACAAAAAAACTTGGAAAATTGGAGCCGAAGAAATTCCATGGAAAATATTCCAATAGAATAAGTTGTATAGAAAAATCGAATCATATTGACTTTCTATAGGATATTTTCAATTGAACATTTCAATAGAAACGGACAAGAATTAATAGAAAGTTCTATAGAAAAACAATAGAATTGTCTAGCGAATGCGCTAGGTTTTTCTATAAAATTTTATCATGTGTGTTTCATTACAATTGTAGGCGATAGAATGCAATACGTATGGAAAAATTTAGTAGAAAAATCTAGCGTTCTCTCTTACAAATTCCGTTGTTCTATTAGAATTTTCTTGAAAAATTCTATTTGTTTTTTGTATCAATTCTATCAAAATTTATTCTCATCCTCCATGCATTTTTAAATACATATTTGTCAATAGATAAATGTCTGTAGATGTTGATTTTTTCATATAATTTGTTCTGTTGGGATTTTTTCTATAAAAATTTTTGGGCATTAATTTTCTATTTTTTTTTATTGTTCAGAATTTTATTATGAGGAAAAAATATACAAAGGAAAAAAATTTGAAAAGGTCATTTCAACGGAGAATTAAATTCCTCATGAATTAATCCTCTTTCATCCCTTAATCTCTGTAACAAAAAAATAAAAACTGCCATGAAAGTCATGGGTCAGGAAGAAAAATATTTTTTTCGCGGCGCACACTGACTTTTCACCATTCGCCCGCGAATTAAAAATTCACTCCTCCCCTCCTAATTGAGATTAAGGGATGAAAAAAGAGCAGTTCGATGGAGAATTAAATTCTCCATTAATTAACCCTCTTTCATCCCTTAATCTTTGTAAGAAAAAAATATAAACTGCCATGAAAGTCATGGGCCAGTGAGAAAAATTATAGTTTCACGGCGCAGTGATTCCCGATAATTAAAAATTCACCTCTCCCCTCCTAATTGAGATTAAGGGATGAAAAAAAGCCAGTTCGACGGAGAATTGAATTCCTCATCAACTGCCCTTTTTTCATCCCTTAATCTAAATTAGGAGGGGAGTGGGGAAGCGAATGGTGAAAAGTTGGTGTGCGCCGCGAAAAAATTATTTTTCTTACTGGTCCATGACTATCATGGCAGTTTTAATTTTTTTGTTACAGAGATTAAGGGATCAAAGAGGGTTAATTGATGAGGAATTTAATTCTCCATCGAACTGCTTTTTTTTCATCTCTTAATCTCAATTACGAGAGGAGGAGTGAATTTTTAATTCGCGGGCGAATGGTGAAAAGTCAGTGTGCGCCGCGAAAAAAATATTTTTCTTACTGACCCATGACTTTCATGGCAGTTTTTATTTTTTTGTTACAGAGATTAAGGGATGAAAGAGGATTAATTCATGGGGAATTTAATTCTCCGTTGAACTGACCTTTTCAATTTTTTGTCCGTTGTATATTTTTTCCCCATAATAAAATTCTGAACAATAAAAAAAAATAGAAAATTAATGCCCAAAAATTCTTATAGAAAAAATCCCAACAGAACAAATTATATGAAAAAATCAACATCTATAGACATTTATCTATTGACAAATATGTATTTAAAATCGCATGGAGGATGAGCATAAATTTTGATAGAATTGATACAAAAAAACAAATAGAATTTTTCAAGAAAATTCTAATAGAACAACAGAATTTGTAGGAGAGAGCGCTAGATTTTTCTACTAAATTTTTCCATACGTATTGCATTCTATCGCCTACAATTGTAATGAAACACACATGACAAAATTTTATAGAAAAACCTAGCGCATTCGCTAGACAATTCTATTGTATTTCTATAGAACTTTCTATTAATTCTTGTCCGTTTCTATTGAAATGTTCAATTGAAAATATCCTATAGAAAGTCAATATGATTCGATTTTTCTATACAACTTATTCTATTGGAATATTTTCCATGGAATTTCTTCGGCTCCAATTTTCCAAGTTTTTTGTTTGATTTTCTTGAAAGGAAGAAAAGAAAAATTGAATGAAGAAAACTTCAATTAAGAAAATTCTAGAAAATTCAATAGAAAATATTTCAATAGAATAAGTTGTGTAGAAAAATCGAATTCTATTGAATTTTTCTATCCAATATTTTCTCTTGAACATTTTAATAGAAACCCCATCCAAAAACCAATGAAATTTCTACAGAAAACCAATAGAATTGTCTAACAGAATCGCTAAGTTTTTCTATTAAATTTGTCATACGTGAAGCGAGGACAGAGATCTATGGGTTGATTTTTTTTGCATTTAGAATTGGCTCATCTGCACAAAGCGATTCTAGGCGAATTTTTGCCTGGCCCTGGTTAATCCTTGTTGTTTCTATGTTATTTTGTTGTTGAAAACGTTTTCAGGAATCCACTAACGATAGAATATGTCATAAGAGTAATTGACGTTTCTTATCTTTTGTTTCTTTTAGGCAAACAGGGAAGCTGGAAGAGATAGATGGACACATCGTAGACATCAATACAATAGATGGCTATTCAAAAGGAAAAAATCATTGAAATCTGGAACGAAGGAAGAGAGATTGAAAACAAAGCACAAAAATTGTGGCTGAGATGGATACTCGCCAACGTCCAGTCTAAAAAAATAACAAAAAATAATGATAAAAAAAATAACATTTAGAAATAATGCAGGAATAAAAACGATTGGGTATAATGTCATGACATTTTTTAAACTATATGTGCTGTTGTCAATTGGGCAGGAGTGGGTTATGTTAGGGAGTCCATAGGGGAGTTCCTGATCCAAAAAGAAGCTGGTGATGTCTCTTGGAGCATTCGTTCTCGAGATA